GTCTGGTGAGTATTTCCAACCTTCAGTATTCCTCATGGACACGATACTGGAGTGGTCTTGGTCTTCCGCAGAGAGCACAACCTGAAGCTTGTCTCCCAAACCTCACACACCCAGTAACTGTGTCTCTAACCCTTAAAAAGCCCTTCAGCTCATCAGACCCTGATCAGTCTCAGGTGTGCAGGAACATTGTGTATTGAGGGGTGGAGTTCCCGACTTCACCACCAGATGGAGCCATAGCTGTTTGTGGTTGCAGCCACCTCAGGGAAATGTAGCGCCCCTCCAGGACACAGCCTCTCGTGACATCACAGAATGTTCCGTAATAGATATATTACAGAGAAATGGTGCTTTAACGTGAACAACGGTACAAACGCGGATTCTGTGTATAGACTGATTCTGTCATGTGACTGACAGCACATTTATTGTCAAGAAAAAGTTTTCCGACATTTTAAGTTAAACAGAATTTGATAGAATTTATCAGAAATATATGCGTTAAAGTTTACAAAAAATTATAGATAATTGGCATTTCCATCAGCTATATTGGTAAGCATTTTGCACTAAACCTTTTGTCGCAAAAAAAAAAAAAAGTTTTGAATGTTAAAACTTAAGTTATAAACTTAATATATACACTGAAGTTCCCCCAGAGGTGGCTGTAGACGCTGCAGTTTCACCTGAGACAGCAGTAGACACTGCAGATTTCTTCATGCCATCACCTCGCCGGCGTAAGCGGAGGAAGGCTTCCATCTCACAAGGTCTTGTGGTCCCAGAGCTCCCTGCTCTCCGCGATATGGCCACGGAGGCCATCCCCAAGCGTCTTGCCCTGCCGGCTCCGCCCAAGCACCTTGCCCCGTCTGGTCCTCCCATCCGGCACCGCCCTGGCTTGCTGCCAAAACTCCAGACCCGCCGGAGCCTCACTGGTCCTCTGCAAGTAATCCAGATCCAATGATTGGTTCATCCCTCCGGCTCCACTCTGGCCTTTCGCCAGGACTCCAGACCTGCCTGATCCTCTTTGGCGCAACCCTCCCGTCCCTCCCAGGTCATCTGCTTGGACTCTGGACCTTCTAAAAACTTTCTGTGCTGTCATCCTGGCACTGGTTTGGTTCCCCTTCCTCCCTTTTGTCTCTGTAATTTGATTTTTCCATCTTGTGTAGTCTGTTGTTTTGTGTCAATCTTGTGTTATGTTCCTGTCTTGTTTTTGGTGTTCCTCACTTGGTGTCCCTTTAGAGGGGGGTAGTGTCAGTGTTCATTCTTCATTCTCGCTGTGCGATCTTGTCTTGTGTGAGCGTGCAGTTTCGAGTTTGTTTGTGCCGTACGGTCCTCTGTCTGCTTGTGTTGTTGTGTTCTGTGTAGATTTCCTCAGAATCTTTCAACTACATCTTTCTGACTGCACAATGACAAGCCAGTCATCCAAATAATTCAGGACACTCATCCCCTTTGCTTTCAGTGTGGAGAGTGCAGCATTAACACATTTCCTGAATGTCAGTGGGGCCAGATTTGTGAATTGGTATGCCATGCCTTCAAATTCAAATCCAAAAAAGTGCTGGTGCTGCGGGGCCATCTGAATATGAAAACAAGCATCTTTCAAATCCACCGAGATAAACCAATCTCCCTATTGAATCTATTAAAGTATTTGCTTCTGCGTGATCATTTTGAATGCGGGCACTTTGTCAGTGTGACAAAGCCGTCCTTCTTTGGGTACTAATCATGACTGTAGAATCTGCTCTCACATGGGTTGGGGTGCAGGGCAGCCCAGGCACATTTAGGCATGAAGTGGCGAATGGCCTTTGACTGTCTCTGTGAAATGCTCAGTGAACGCTTCCACCGTGTCACCAAACAGACCGATGGACTCACTGGTGTGTCCAGGAGCGATGCGTTGTTGGAGTTGTTTAAGTCTGTGAGCGTCAGCCAAAGAGGGCAGTCCAGCACCACTAAGCTCCCAATCGTGTGGTCAATAGAATGGGCTGTCATTTTTTGTTGCTCTCAGCGTCAGTAGCGCTGCTGAGCTCCTTGAGGACGTTCAGGTCCATTTCTTTCAGCATCTTTGCATGGTAGACTTGCAAGGACAGCCATCGTATGGAGGGCTGAGGCTGCGTGGCCAGCTGCAGTGATTGCCTTCCCTGCTATACTGGTGGTTTCAAGACAGGGCTTCGAAGGATAAACCTCTGTGGATTTCCAGCTCAGCGTGATCCACGTAGGTGGGCATGGCTGGACCAGAAGCAGGGGCGTGCGTAGAGTGAGGAGCGCACCAGGTCTTTGAGAGCTCCTCATGAACCTCACAGAAGAACGTGCTGGCTTTTGAGGACCGGTCTTCTGGTGGTGGCCCGACTGGAGATACCATTCATCCATCCAGCTCCTTACAGGCTCAGCAGAGGAAGACCACTCCAACCCCAGCTCATCCACAGCCTTAGTGAGGACCCTCAGCAGCTCCTTGTCCAGGTTTGTGCGAGGCTTACTTCAAAGGGGTTGCAGCCCCGCTCCTCTCTCTCTCTCTGACCCCGCTGTGGATATTGCCTCCTCATTGACGTGCCAAAAGATACTACATTGTGGGCGCCTCCATCGCGGGAGAAGCCAGTTGATTGGAGTCAAGGGTGTCTTCACAGTGAGGGCAGTGCAAGCCACTCAGCGCTGTCTCTATGTTGGGGCGACCCAGGCAGAAGACAGCAGTCGTGGGAATCTTCATCTTCTAGAGGTGCCTAGCTGGAAAAACAGGTTTCCTAAAGCTTTTGTTTCGTCATCCTTCTCTTGTCATCTAATGACTTGCTGGAAAGCAGCAGGAAACAAGCACCGTCCTCTGGATTCGTGTCTGTCCAACGATGAGCAGGCTTCTTCTTCATATTTGGCAGTTCTTCTTGAAGGAGAAAGATTTTGAGGAAATAGCATTCGGCGCCGCGTTATAATAGTGTTGGAGGCGGCGCCTTCCAGCAAGTTCGAATGCTCCTGTGTATTTAATGGACCTTCTATTGCCCTACAATCCATTGCATTCATTAAGATCACTAAATTCGAGGCTTCTGGTCATTCCTAGGATATCTAAGTCCACTAAAGGAGGGAGGGCGTTCTCACATTCAGCTCCAAAACTCTGGAATAGCCTTCCTGAAATTGTTCGAGGCTCAGACTCGCTGTCCCAGTTTAAAACTAGATTAAAAACGCATCTCTTTAGCCAAGCATTCACATAATGCCTACCTTTTATACCACTGTTGAATCAGATCAAATGCATTTAATATTATAAAACTTGAAGAGTCTGCAGGTTATTTGTATTGGTTGCACAGTATTTACAGTCATTACCGTCATTACCATTTCCGTTCAGCACCCACTGTTCCATATAACCTACGGCCACGTTAGGACTACGGAATCACGGGAGAGAAATAATACAGTCATTACGTTCCTGTGTATATTGCGCGAAATGATGGGTGGTTAGGCATATATTGTGTTTTGCGGTAGGTAGTATGCCATACGGAACCGTTGCCACTGAAACTGCATATTAACGCACCAGTGGGGCTCGACAGCCTTAGTCAAACGGGTTGGCGCGTATGGTTGGGTTGCGGAGAGATTGTGGTTAGGTCTCAGCAGCAGGAGGGATGTAGAGGTCAGTAAGCTGGGCTGAGTTGAGTGGGGGACGGAGGGGGGTGACTCTGGGACGCCAGAGTCACTGTCTTGAAGTTTTTAACATCTACTCTCGTGTTATGGAAATCATTATGAACAGCAGCTATGCTAATTATTTCCCATTTGCTTTTCTGCTGTTATCTCGGGACGCGAGTCCCGAGGAAAATGGCGTTCGTCAGCTCCAGTTTGTATCCTGCCTCTCACGGAGACTTCAGATGCCCCAACACCTGCGATGAGACGACTCAATGCCTGTGAAGAGACGACTCAACGCCGGCGATATATTATGCCCTAAATTATTACATGATTAACCGACTCAACGCCGGCGATATATTATGCCCTAAATTATTACATGATTAACTAAATGTATTTTTCCATGTACATTTCTGAAATGCACTTTCTGTAAAGCTGCTTTGAAACAATATGTATTGTGAAAAGCGCTATACAAATAAATTTGAATTGAATTGAATTATTGGCAGGTGCTCTACACTGGAGTGATTCAGTTTTTTCAGAAAAAAGTTTTTTTTCAGCTAACGACACAATGAACTGAAGTTGAAAGGGAACTAATGATGAGTTCCTTTTACCTCGTTGGAGGACTGTTATAACTGGGAATGACATTAAACCCGAGTTGACAGCGACCAGTACATACAGGTTAGAAAACTAAGATGAACACGTCCAGGCAAAGCTTTTTTATACTTGCTCTTTCCTAATACAAACACAGATAATGCTGAAGTATCATGTTCACAGATAGAGGACGAATAGTGTCATGTGTATCACTGAGTTTGAGACACAGACAAATCACAATTTGATTTATGATGCTGCCCCTCATAAACCAAAGCATGTGATAGACAGTGGGGGACAACTGAAAAATGTGACAGAATGGGCAATACAGAATGGGCAGTACTACGTCGCGGTTCTGCGCTGCCTCCGCTCTGCTTGCGCATCTCGTGTGAAACAGGCGCAAGGTGACACTGAAATTTACACTATAAAAAATTAGCAACCTCTAATTGTTCTTTCAAAGACCTATTTGTACTTTAATAAATTAAGATAATTGAGTTTTGTCCATTTGAAGTTCAAAGCGATCCTCCCCCCGAACACTGCAGGACGATTGGTGTAGCAATTTAGTGCACATACAAAGTGTAGGTGGAGTTTGAGAACTTAAAGGCAATTCTTAATAAATGAATGATTGTTGCTGTTGAATTTTTTTGTAAAATATTTAAGTCTATGTTTGATCATATCTGTAGACCTTAAACTATTAGTCTTTGTTAAGTATAAATAATCAACATGGGCTTGGCAGTCTGGCAACAGTGGGAGTCTTGGGCAATAGAGTCTAGAAACAACTTTGCAATGCACTAAACATGAACTTTGCTACCGTTTTACAATACTTGTTTATATATTGATCTCAGGAATGTTCAAATGTCAGCCAACCAGGAAGCACAAACAGATGAACTGCTGGCGCTAGAGAGCATATATGATGAAGAGGCGTTTCACAGGACAGAATCAAGACAGAGGGGCAAGATCAATCTGTGCCTTGAGCTTCCTCCTAACTTCAGACTGCTAGTCAAGGGTAAGATTTCATACAAGATTTGGTAAAAAAAAACAAAAAAACTAACTGTTATTTTAAAAAATATTGTACTTTGATCCATCATGATAAACTTGATACCAAGGCCAAGAGAAAATGAAAAAAATACTCAACAATTATGCATTTTTTCTCCAAACTAAGTCATAGTTTACCCATATTCAGCTGTTGATAAAGAGTTAGTCATTCAGGATGTTCACTGTTCACCAGTATGTAAAAGTGGATCCTGATCTCATTCTTTTTTGCTCAGGAATGAACCAGACATAATTCCCATGAGTCCCATGTCTTCTTTAGAATTCAGAATTGTGATTTTAAAATTGTGAAAGATATAGGCTACTTAGAACTGCAAGGAAAATATGGAAGCTTGTTTCCATTACAGGATAAAACATTTTAAAAGATAAATGCTACTTTTTTTCTCAGAATTGCAAGATAAAAAGTCAGAATTGTGTAATATAAAGTTGCAATTGATGTTATAAAGTCAGAATTTATTTCTCGCAAGTTTATATCGCGCAATTCTGACTTTATAACTCACAATTGCGACTTTATATCACGCAATTCTGAGATAAAAAGTCTGTGGCGGAAACAAGCTTCCATAGAAAAAAAGTCCACATTGTGAGAAAAGTCACAATTACCTTCTTTTCTTTTTTTCCTGTGGCAGAAACAAGCACTGCATATACAGGCAGAACGAAGTGGTGCGCCCCCCACACTTTAAAGTACACTCAGTATATTTATTTGATTAAATCACAGATTGTGTGGATTAATAATTGCAAATAAAAGGCCATATCGCAATTTTTGATTTTAATTCAAATATCTTTGGAGCTCTATTGCATGTGTTCCCAAAAGTCTTTATAAGCTGATATTTTGTGCATATTTTTCATAGGGGAGGCATGCGTAGAGTATGGAATATCCTTTCTACCCCCTTTGGTTCTGAGTTTTGAGCTTCCTACAGACTACCCTTCATCATTGGCTCCAGTCTTCACTTTAAGCTCCAAATGGCTTTCAAGAGTTCAGGTTTGTATTTTTAGCATTGATCTGAGCTTGTGTAATTAGATGATAACATTAAATAGTTTTGTATTTTTATTTATATAATTATTTGGTCTTTTATTGTTGGGCATGATATTGGCATAATGAAAATGGCATAACCATTAAGATAATCTCTGCTCAATTAATAAGTTATTTAATGTCTGAAAGATCACTGCACTTTGCAAGAGACTGGATGAACTTTGGGAAGAGAACAGGGGAACTGTGGTTCTTTTTACCTGGATACAGTTTCTAAAGGAAGAAACTCTGGAATTTCTGAACCTCCAATCTCCCCTCGAGATCCAAACCATTGGTGGGCAGCCTCACTATGAATCTGGTCAGAACCAGTCAGACACTGCTGTTGAAAAGAACAAAGTGCAAGAGTTGGACCAACGGGCAGTCCAAGAAGTTGACCCTCACACAGATATACTAACCCAACTGCTGGATTTTAATGAAGCTCAGAAACAGAAGGTGTTTGATAGCAAGGCTTTTTGCTGTGGAATCTGCTTCTCTGAGAATCTGGGTTCCAACTCTTTGCTCTTCAAGGAGTGTCAGCATGTTTACTGCAAGGCATGTGTGAAGGAATACTTTCAGATCCAGATTAGAGATGGCAAAGTCCAGTGCCTTACCTGTCCTGAGCCCGAGTGTATGTCCTTGGCCTCTCCTGCACAGGTACTTTTTCTTGCGTGTTTGTGCCTGAGCATTGACTTTGAAGCACTTTAGCTGGGAAACTAATGCCACTGTACTGCTATTATACTGTAGGTAAAACTTCTGGTGGGCGAATATGAATATGCCCGCTATGACCGCCTCCTTCTGCAGTCGAGTCTGAACCTAATGGCAGATGTTGTTTATTGTCCACGCATGAGTTGCTGTATGGCTGTGATGATCGAGCCTGACGCCAACATGGGCATCTGCCCCTCTTGCCGATTCGTCTTCTGCACCCTCTGCAAGCGAACATACCATGGCCTCTCTCTCTGCAAAGAATGTAAGATCACAGTGGAGTTTCCTTTAATACACACCAGCACAATCAGGGCAAGTCAATTTCATTTGTATAGCGATTTACATTCATGCATTTAGCAGATACTTACAACAAAGGAAGCAATTACAGCAAACACTATTCATAGTATACAATGGCAGGTTTTTATTAGAAAGCTAGATTAGCTAAAACAGAGGTAGGATGCAAAAAAGAAGATGAGCAATTTGTGTATGTGTGTGTGTGTAAACCTAAGCTGTTGAAATGTAAGTGGTAAAGCTCAGTTGGTCATTGAACACTACCCCCAGGTTCCCTACTATCCTAGGTTAGTTTTGTATACTTGCACAGTGATTTTTGTGGTCAACTGATGGGTTTTCAGGGACTAATTGCTTTTCACAATACACAGGGTTATATATTTGGTAATGTTATAACAAGACAATCTTATTTTCCTCTACAAAGTACAAATGGAAAAGGACCTACAAGAAAAGCAGCTAATTCAAAGAGCAACGGATGAGTCGTTAAGTGAAGACTGGCTGATGCATAACACTAAACTCTGCCCTTCCTGTCGCATTAACATTCAGGTCAGCAACTACTAGCTCATGACTGCAAACAGACATTTCACTTTTGTTGTTTAAAGGTGTGGTCTTAGTGTAGATTCTTAGTAAAAAGCTTTTAAAAATAAAGGATTAATTTTCTCTTTTTGTTGACCGAGATAACAAAAATAGACCCAGGTGCAGCATTATTGGGGCATCATTTATAAGACTCGTGTATGATCAGATTTGATCGTAAATTCCATGGATTTGTTAGTCATTAATAGTGACTAACAAATCTGGATACATTTATTCACTAATTCTCTTTAACCTATATTTAACTGACAAAAGTACAAAGAAAAATTTTCACTGACTAATTTTATTTTATTTAGTAAATTTAAACAATTTTTGATTTTGAGTTAAGACAGAGGCATGTTTACCACTCTGTCACACCACCTTTCCTTTTAATGACACTTTTTTAATCATTTGGGAATTGAGGAAATTAATTGCAGTTTTGCAAGTGGAATTTTTTCCCTAATCTCACCTGATACAAGACATCTACTCAACAGTCCATGCTCGTCATTGTCTGATTCCCCTTTTCCTTATTAGGCCATACATTTTCAATAAGAGACAGATCTGGACTGCAGGTGTAGAGTTTCTACAAATCCACTCAGTTGTAGCATGTGCAGAATGAGGTCTGACATTGTCTTTCCCTAATAACTTCCCGACTTCTCAGGAAAGACTTCTCATCTTGATGGCAGTATATGCCAATATACGCCTCTACGTCAATGGTACCTTCACACATATACTGTTTGCACTGATGCACCCTTGACAGATGTTTGCTTTTGCACCTGTCGCTGAGAAAAGTGGATTCATCTGATTCATCATTCGTCTTTTAGACCACCTATGAGCTCGGGCCCAGAGAACTCAGCGGCATCTCTGCATTGAACAGATATGTATAGCTTTCTCCTTGAGGAACAGAGATTTGAGTTGCATTTCTTGATGGGGCTGCAGACTGACAACAGTTTTCCCAAAATGTACTCCCGAGCTCATGTGGGTTTATTAACAGTTGCATGATGGTTTCTCATGCAATGCCATCTGAGGGCTCAAAGGTCACGTAGATTCAACGGAAGTTTCCTGTCTTGCCCTACACAGACTGAGATTTTGTCATAGTTCTGTCACTTCTGCTTTTGTTACTAGTTCTGTGTGGTGACAGAGCTATGACATTTCCTGTCTGTCTCGTGTTTATGTTTGTCTAGTTTCATGTGAGCACATGGCTCCTGATTATTCCTGTGCCATGTGCTTTCTGTCTAATTGTTAGCTCCTCCCTTCTCGTTATCTGTTTAGTAATTAACATTCCTCACCTGTTGTCTCGTTACCCTCCTGTCTGTGTTTCCTTTATAGCCTCCTTTGTGTTTTCAGTCCGGTGCTGGTTCGTTTGTCTAAGGCCCCGTTTACACGAGAACGATTCCGGGTGAAAACGTAAAAATATTTTTTTGGATGTGCCTTTCGTTTACACGGCAACGGCGTTTTGGGGGCTTAAAAACGCAAAAAAGTGAAACCACCCTCCAGAGTGGAAATCTTAAAAACGGTCCACCGTCGCGTTCCCATCTAAACGGTAAAAACGCAAATCTGCTCACGGTGGCTCTCGTCGCGTACGCGTTTACGTCACATGCATGCGCCAGTACAGGAAAATAACAACCAACATGTCAGATTATTTCCATACGTCGGACCTTCAAGTTGCTCTAGCAGCTCTGAAAAACATACAAGAGTCTTTTCAACAGTTGTACAAAATATTCTAAGATATTGGTGTTGTTGTGTGGCAGTGCTTCACATTGCCACCTAGCTGCCTGGAGTGCATACTACATCGAATTTCACACACTTTTGCGTCACCATATGCACGCGGATTTCCCAACCATAACGCTCGTCTAAACGCAGAATAAAAAGTGATAACGCAACGCCACTTTTGCGTGTTTTCTTCAGATCGTTTCCGTGTAAACATAGCCTAAGTTCCTGTTTCTTGTTCCTAGTGTTTTTGCCTTGTTAGTATTTGTTCTGGTTTTTCCCCCCACGCGGGAGTTTTGTTTGTACTTTGTTTAGTTGGTTAATTAAAATCTTACCTTTGTTTTCCTGCAATTGAGTCCTCGTTTATGTTTCCTGATTATCACGTGACATAGTTTCCTGGATTCCCTTAATCTTTTCACAATATATATGTAGCCTACTGTCAAACGGGTTGGCGCGTATGGTCGGGTTGCGGTGAGATTGTGGCTTTAGAGTTTGTGGTTAGGTCACATCAAGGGTTTACCGTAAATTGCTCTGTAAAGCTGCTTTGAAACATTGTTAAAAGCGCTATATAAATGAAGATGACTTGACTTTATGCCACCTCAGCAGCAGGAGGGATCTCAAGCACAATAGAAAGAAAGAAACGCTGATGTACAGGTAAGTAAGCTGGGATGAGTTGAGTGGGGGACGGAGGGGGGTGACTCTGGGACGCCAGAATCACTGTCGAGCCCTATTGAGGTGTCGTGGGCTAGTCGACGAAACACTGAGGACGGAATGTGTCCACTTGAAGACCCTAGAGATGTCCCCTACTCAGCTCAATCCAGACAGTTGTCATGCTGATCTGCTGGGAAGACCGCACTGTGTGCTGACGCGCCAGGAAATATAGTTCAGGGCTTAACGCTCGTTGGTGTTTTAAGCCCCCAACGGAGCCTTCGAGGCAGCGCTGCATGGAGGGCGCTCCTCGCCCCCTACCGCGTTTCAGCCAATCGCAACAATGGTGCTCGCATACTTTGAGAACCGACGAGCGATCGATCTTGACTCCACTCAACTTGGTACGTGAAGTTGCATAGAGCAATATTCTAAGATCTGAATTCATAATGAAATGTTTTATTATTAAAAAATAAAGACTATGCTTTATAATATATCGAACACTAGCTGCTAGGGATTTTCTTTGCCGGACACGCTCAGCTACCTAGCTAACTGTAAACAGATTGGCAATGGTAGATTTTGCAGCGAATGGCTGAAACGCGGCAGGGGGTGGGGAGCGCCTTCCATGCAGCGCTGCCTTGAAGGATCCATTGAGGGCTTAAAACACCAACGGGCGCCATGCTCACCAGACAGAAGGATATTCACATCACCATATGGAAGGAAGCGTAAATGGACGGAGATGAATAGGTTACTGTAAAGCTACGTCTTATTTGGTGCTTATCTTGGCGAAAGCCGAATGCAAATCAGCATGAAGTTTTAACATCTACTCTCGTGTAATGGAAATCTGTAGATGCTGAAATACCTAAATTCTTTGCAATGTTGCATTGAGAAATGTGATTTTTTGCACATGGCAAAGAGCCTTTGGTGGATGCTCCTTTGACACTCAATCACAACACCATCTCCTATTACTATTCCCCTGCTATTGTGTACTGTTTAACTTGGATATTCTATAAGCTTTTCACTTTTTGCCTCCGTCCCAAATTTTTAAATGGATTGCAGCCATCAAAATCAAAATTTGTTTATATTTACAATTACAATTAAGTTGTTCAGTGCCAACATTGGAAATGTTAAAAATGATCTTTTGTCAGTTAAAAAAAGCTTTAGGAGAATGAACAAGTCACAGATTACTGATTTTACTGCATTTTACAAAATGTCCCAACTTTTCTTGAAATGGGGCTGTAGTTTCTTACTGATTTTCTTTTCCTTTTTTTTTTTTTAGAAAGACCTGGGCTGCAACAAGATGACCTGCATTTCATGTCAAAAGTATTTCTGCTGGATCTGCCTTGCAGTTCTTAACAGAAATGACCCCTACAGCCACTTCCGAGGCGACACCAATCCGTGCAATAACCTTTTAAATGCTGACATATAGTGGTTGTTCTTCACCTACAAAGAATAAGGCATGCGTCACATTACGGGACTGGTTTTATTTCACCTCTAGAGGGCTGTTTTACTGTAGAACCAAAGACCGTAAGCTGTAGACAAGTAAAACCCTCAAGTGCCAGTGCACTGAGAAATTTAAAACTATTGCAAACTATCACCATTAATTTGAACAGATAACCACAAATTCCACAAAGTAAATATAAGTGCATATGATACGTCCAAATTCGCCTATTTCTTCAATGTCTTCACTCCACATTTCATTTTATACGCTACTTAAGAATTTTTCCTACCATATTGGAGATAAAAGCTGCATGGTCAAGGGTCTTTCAAGCAGAGAACTTTGCTCTTGCATGGTTTTGCATAATGATGCATTTGACTAATGGCAAAGTCCACCTTCACAAAGAAAAAAACCCCAATACGATTTCAGTTGGACTAAAGAATTAACATTACATTTTAAAAAGATAAATTATTGCTTTAGTCCAACTGAAATTGATGTTTACATGCAACCTCACCAAAACATCACATACTAGTATTCACCCTAAACAGTATCCAAGATTATAATTATCCATCCATTTATTAGTCCAACTTATCCCCAAATCATATGTAGTGTCTTTAGAACTGTGCATTATCTCGACAAACATAAAGGTGTTACGGAATAATGGGATCTCTTGAACATCTCTAAACAGAGTACTGTATTTCTATAAACCTTTAATCTATCTGAAATGCACAGTAAATTTCACATTTAATGTATGCTAAAGATGCTGGTGTACTTCACTGAGATATTGTTTAAAATACATTATTATTTTGCTCTAGATTAAATCAGGAAATGGACACTGAGGATTTTTACAGCTTTTAAGTCACTTTATCCATTGCACTTTGTCAATTCATGTACGTTAATCAACCAGAAAATAACATTCACATTTCCCCCTGTATTCATTCATCAGCTGTTGACAGATCAGAGGCAAATACATGTTGCCTATCCACAATATTTCTACATCTCATGGTGCTTATAACCAATCAGCGATGAAGAATAATTTTGCCTAATGCAAAAAAGAAAAAAAAAAGAAAAGCTTTTTGAAACCTCATTATGCACAATTCTGTGTGAAAATGAAATGAAGGTCATTTTTCTTTTGCTGGCTAATATTATGATACTGTTTTAGTATGTTTTTAAATGTTGCACTAAGAATATGTTGTGAAGCCATACTTTTCTATTGCATTTGTTTGCTTTGTTATAATAAAACTTGTTGAATTTGTGGTGGTCAGTCTGAGCATCGAGAGAAATGCAACACAAATTGTATCGTCATTATTTCATAGTGTAAGTTTTGTGAATTTTCCTCTGGCAGCATCAACAGCTCAGGACCGTATAATTTAGTTCTTGCAGCATTGTAATTCTTAAAAATCAATAAAAAAATCTATTAAAAAAAGTTCTTGCAGCAGCATTATGGAATGTCAGCCATAGAACTAGAAATGACACACACATTTTAAAATGCAGCTTAAATGAAATATGAAATCACTATATTTTGAGTAAAGCAATGCGCATTCATTTCAAACAAAGTGGATATTTTAACAGGTGTGATGAGAAATAAAAAAGAAGAGAAATGATTGGTAGCCTAATCGTAGCTTCAGCTTCTTTAACTTCATTTGTTTGGACGATTATTATGCATAATCACAGACAGTGAGAGAGAAATAATTGTAGACGTTCGCGTAAAACGAAGGCTTTAAGACCAAGCAGAAAGACTCTGTCAGCCTCTGGTACTATACGACATCCACAGGGAATCACACCCAGTAGTCGCGGAACACAAGATACATACGGAACACAAGATACATACGGAACATACACGGTATGCTACAAACTTTCATGCGACGAGATGTTTTAACATACAAAGTGTTAACCAGTAGCGGCTGCGGCTCCTGAGACTTTGGGGACTTTTGCGTCCAGGCTCCTGTATTGTACGCTATGACTTTGATTAACTGCTAATCTAATTTTACATTCAAATGACTGAACACATGCAGAACCCTTTTGGCAGAGGTCTAACGTTAGTGTCCTTGCTAATTCAGCCTGAGGTTGGCGCTAATGCTGATTGGCAGGCTCTTCTACGACTTGTGGAAAATTTAGGAGAGGAAACAAAGCCACTTTGATTCTCAGAACAATGACCCTGCACACTTTCGTCTGCACTTGAGGTCTTTTGGTCTTGCAATGTCCAGCACGTGCACGTGTCCGTTAAGTCCACAAAACTGTAGGGTGTCCCATTTGCCATTTTAGGTGCTCACTAGCGCCCCCTTTGCAACCGATATGCACCATCTCTCCAAGTATGTCTGACTGCGTCCCACAGTACTACAAACCATCCCCCCCTACCTCATGTTACGCCCCCTACAATGAAACTGCCATTCAGGATGTCATCAGAACCCTTCCCTCTGGAATCGCTAGGCTTGTTCGACTTCATGCAGCACTACATAGGCCGCTCGGCAGCTGACTTGAAGCAGTGCATGCCGGTTAGAAGTTTTGTCTGACTTGAGACAGCGCTGACGCCACATGACTTTGACGAATGCCATCAAATACTGCAAGAGCGATTCGAGAGCAGCCGACTGGTTTATTCAGCTTCTCAAGAGCGGCTGCACGAGCTCTGATGACGACACAACTGTTCCACGATCGGCCGGATTCACAGCGTGAATGACGATCACGATCACGTGTGTTTCGTGTTTATTCTCACACTTTCAGTTCCACTAATGCTCACAAATCAGCATTTTTATAACAAGTAAAATCTCTTTTCATGTAGTTGCGCTATTATATTGTGTCATGTTTATCAAAATAAAACTGATTAAAAAAACGTATTTAAAGCTGCAGTCCGTAGCTTTTTTGGGGTTAAAAATGATCCAAAATACATATTTGAGGAAATACATAACCAGCCAGTGTTCAAAACTATCTGCTTTTCTTAGCTCGATTCAAAGCGGTAAGCTTGTAATAATGTTTTTAATTCCAGTGGTACTGGTGGATTTCTGCGGGAGATTCAAGCATGTCTTTGCGTCATTACGTCACATCTGTACACATAAAGAAGAGTCTCGGCTAGTAGGCTATGAGTGTGAGGATGCTGGAGGTGGAGATTTAGCCTTTTCTCACAGCACTTGATATAATTAAACTAATCAATTTCATGGCGGATCCAGAAAGGTTCAAACGACAATCACCAGTGACAACAGATTCACCCGTTGTAAAATGCAAAAGACTTGTTCGGACTTCGGAGTGGCTACAGGAAAAAAGAGACTACAACCGGACAGTAGTGGTAGTAACATCTCAAATCCCAGAGTTCTGTTTAGAACATTCAATAATCTACACTCTTAGACCTTACCGGGGTTTTTTTTACAGTAAAATGCTGGCAACACTGTTGCCAGTAATTAACTGTTAACTGTACAGTTCTTTACTGTAATCTACAGTATGTATGTTACTGTAAAAATGCACAAAATTAAAACTAATTTCGAGTTAACTAATTTCACTTGCAGAAACCAACTGCCTTAAATTGACCAACTGTCATTTAAATGTATTAAATAACATTTATAATGCATTAATAACTTGAGCAAAATATTACTGCAAACTTATTTCATTTGAAACCACAAATAAAACTTTGGTAAATAAAGAGATTTCCACTGGATCAGCAACTACACAGTCACTGCCTTTTAAGTAGAGCAACATGCAGCGTATCATCAATGTTTCTAGATCTTCTCCTGGACTGAAGCACAGGCTCTACTCTTCAGCACAATGGTGACCCAAAAAACAAGATTTTACAGTATAAACTACTGGCAACACTGAAAATCCACACTACAAAGAGTAAAAAAGGAACACACGACCAGAAAATAGAGAAACACAATAACTGACTTCCAGCCATTACACATTATTACACTTATTATTCACCAGTATGACTTTATTTCTGTCATACATCCACAGAAGTTGTTATTGAGATGTTTAATTGAAAATGTTTGGTTTGAAGTTACTATTATAGAGATCAGTGTTTGCTTTAGTTGGGTTCTTGACTCTTGACTTTTTAACATTAGTTTTTCTTTTGCTGCTTTACTGTGTTTTTACAAGTCACACTTGTGCACATACAACAGCCAAAAACACCTGATCATTTTCCTCTTGGCTTTTTCTTGCCATAACAAATGTGGTTTATAAACTCACAGTCACAGCAGCCAGAGAAAAACAAATGTTAAAAAGTCAAGGGTCAAGAGCCCAACTAAAGCAAATACTGATCTTCATCATGGTGACTTCAAACTTTATTATTTTCAATAAAACATCAACAGCTAAATATCTGTTGATTCTCAATAAGACCTGTTGTACATGTATGAAAATAATGTTAAACTGGTTTGTAAACTGTTTTCACACTAGGTGTGGCTGGAAGTCAGTTGTAGTTCTTGTTTCTCTTTTTTCTGTTCTTGTTTCTCTGTCCTTCCGTGATTCTGCTTATCAGGTGTTCATCAGTGTCTGAATTCACTCACTTCTTTTCATTCACTCTGTCAAGTGGACTATATTAGTGAACTAATGTAGGGAATACTGAATGAGGGTATAGGGTGTGATTGGGAAAACAGCCTCTGAGTGTCGATTTTGAGCGCTGTTAATTTACAGTATATTCCTGTAGGCTATTTTTGTTTTCTACGGTATATTACTCTTTTAATGGAAAATGGTATGGTATTGTCAAAATGTGGCCTTTTTTTACAGTAAGGGTTAACAGTGTAATTAAACCTCCCAGTAACTTTAACTGTCCTAGCATCGAGCAGTGTAATGCATTTCTCAACTATTTTACAACTAAAATTGAGAATATTTATAACGCCATTGCCTGTGAGGATGCTTAGCTTGTTGAGGGGCATTCTCCTAATCTCTCTGGTCTCGCTTTTTCAAGTTTCAGTGCTGTTGATTTTGATTTCATTTCTAAACTTGTTTTGTCAATGAACTCTACTACTTGTATACTTGATCCACTCCCTACGACTGTTTTGGAAAACTGTCTGCCTGTTATATACCCCATATCACTGCTATTGTAAATGCTTCACTCAATGCAGGGAATGTCTCTTCTGCTCTAAAACTGACTGCAGTTACGCCAGTTCTTAAAAAGCCTGGGAGTGATATCACCGATATGTCAAATTATCGACCCATCTCCAATTTACCTTTCCTGGCAAAAGTGCTTGAGCGTTTGGTTGTTGGCCAACTCCATACTCAACTCTGTACGAATAGCCTATTAGAAACTTTTCAATCTGGGTTTATATCTGGACACAGTATAGAGACTGCTCTAGTCAGGGTCCTGAATGATCTCCTCGTTATAGCCGACTCTGGGGCTTGTGCCATTTTGGTTTTGTTAGACCTTAGTGCTGCATTCGATACCATATGTCACGGCATATTATTGGACAGATTGCATATGTTGACTGGTCTGTCTGGAACTGTGTTAGACTGGTTTAAATCTGACCTCTCAGATCGTTCCCAATATGTCTACCTGGGTACTACTAACAGATCTCAGACTGTGCCTCTTGGTCAGGGTGTCCCTCAGGGGTCAGTTTTGGGTCCTGTTTTATTTAGTGTTTATGTGCTGCCTCTTGGGCAGATCATTCAGAAGTATGGCCTGAGCTTTCACTGTTATGTGGACAACACCCAGATTTATATCAGTTCTCAGCCTGATCTCAATTCTTCCTCTTCAAAGCTTTCTGACTGTTTGTTGGAAATTAAAGCGTGGATGAAACTCAACTTTCTACAACTGAACTGCTCCAAAACTGAAATCTTATTAATTGGCTCTCCATTTTAATGTCAGTAAATGTACGGATTTTAAAATTTCAGTAGACAATACCCAATTGTCCCCTTCTGGCCAGGTGCGTAACTTGGGCGTGATTTTTGATGCCCAGATAACTTTTAATTCACATTTTAAAAACATAACGAAGGTTACTTTTTTCCATCTGAGGAACATTGCGCGTATTAGACCCTTTCTCTCTAGGCCTGATGCAGAGAGGCTTATCCATGCCTTCATCACATCAAGGCTTGATTATTGTAATTCTCTCTTTGCTGGTTTACCAGCAAATTCTATTAAGAGGTTGCAATATATACAGAACTCTGCCGCACGTGTTTTAACTCATACATCCTCACGCCATCACATTACGCCCGTGCTCCAGCAACTGCATTGGCTTCCAGTTCAGCCACGTATTGATTGTAAAATTCTTATTTTAACCTATAAAGCAGTACATGGGTTGGCTCCAGATTACATCTGTGATTTGGTTACTCCATCCATTCCCGCTCGCTCTCTCCGTTCTGCTGGCTCTCTCTCTCTGTATCAGCCTCGTTGTAAATTGAAAACCAGGGGGGAAGGGCCTTTTCCTATAACGCGCCTAAGTTATGGAACACACTACCCGCATCTATTGGATGCTGCTTCAGTGGATTGTTTTAAGAAACTTCTTAAGACACATCTTTTTAGTCAAGCTTTTAATTTATAATTGTATTATTTTTTTTGTATTTTTACTTCCATGTTTGATTATTTTGTTCTGTACATGCTGTAGCGCTTTGAGTCTGAGAAAGGCGCATTAAAAATAAAATGTATTATTATTATTATTAGAGTCTATTAGGGGCAGTCAGAGAACACTTTTCATGCATTTCTAATCATGGATAGAAAAGTCCCGCTTTATGTTTTCTCATTGAATATCTTGTTGTACTTGTGAATACATCACTTTACAGAAGTTAAATGTGAATACTGTTTTATGTGTCTTTAAAACTACTTAATATTCTACATGCAGTCCCTGTTCTTGCGATGAATGCATCAGTTCGGCAGTTAGCAGTCTAAAAATCCATTGGAGAAGTTTCACAATCCTTGTTTTTATCTCAGGAATGTTCAAATGTCAGCCGACCAGGAAGCACAAACAGACGAACTGCTGGCGCTAGAGAGCATATATGATGAAGAGGAGTTTCACAGGACAGAATCAAGACAGAGGGGCAAGATCAATCTGTGCCTTGAGCTTCCTCCTAACTTCAGACTGCTAGTCAAGGGTAAGATTTCATACAAGATTTGGTTACAAATAAATAAATAAAAGTAAAAACGTAGTGATTTTGAAAAATATTGTATTTTGAACTATTATAGACTATTAAACCATGATAATAAACATGATACCAAGACAAAAAAAAAAGTTTAAACAGCAGTTCCCACACTCAACAATTATGCCTTTTTTTCAAACACACAATTAAGTCACATTTTTTCGTCTTTGCATTCAAACTGTACCAAAACTTAAAAGTGGTACGATTTTTTTCTTGCACCTGCAAGTTTATATCTCACAATTCTGACTTTTTAAAAACGCAATTGCAGGAAAAAAGTCGACGGTGTGAGATAAAAAGTCAAACATTTTTTTATTAAGTATTTATTTGATTATATATATCTCAATTTTGATTTTAATTCATATAACTTTGGAGCTCTATTGCATGTGTTCCCCAAAGTCTTTATAAGGTGATGTTTTGTGCATATTTTTCATAGGGGAGGCATGCGTAGAGTATGGAATATCCTTTCTACCCCCTTTGGTTTTGAGTTTTGAGCTTCCTACAGACTACCCTTCATCATTGGCTCCAGTCTTCACTTTAAGCTCCAAATGGCTTTCAAGAGTTCAGGTTTGTATGTTTTAGCATTGATCTGAGCTTGTGTAATTAGATGATAACATTAAATAGTTTTGTATTTTTATTTATATAATTATTTGGTCTTTTATTGTTGGGCATGATATTGGCATAATGAAAATGGCATAACCATTAAGATAATCTCTGCTCAATTAATAAGTTATTTAATGTCTGAAAGATCACTGCACTTTGCAAGAGACTGGATGAACTTTGGGAAGAGAACAGGGGAACTGTGGTTCTTTTTACCTGGATACAGTTTCTAAAGGAAGAAACTCTGGAATTTCTGAACCTCCAATCTCCCCTCGAGATCCAAACCATTGGTGGGCAGCCTCACTATGAATCTGGTCAGAACCAGTCAGACACTGCTGTTGAAAAGAACAAAGTGCAAGAGTTGGACCAACGAGCAGTCCAAGAAGTTGACCCTCACACAGATATACTAACCCAGCTGCTGGATTTTAATGAAGCTCAGAAACAGAAGGTGTTTGATAGCAAGGCTTTTTGCTGTGGAATCTGCTTCTCTGAGAATCTGGGTTCCAACTCTTTGCTCTTCAAGGAGTGTCAGCATGTTTACTGCAAGGCATGTGTGAAGGAATACTTTCAGATCCAGATTAGAGATGGCAAAGTCCAGTGCCTTACCTGTCCTGAGCCCGAGTGTATGTCCTTGGCCTCTCCTGCACAGGTACTTTTTCTTGCGTGTTTGTGCCTGAGTATGAGCTATGAATAGGTTTTGACTATTAAGCACTTTAGCTGTTTGAACAGTAGTTTAAGAGGAAATAGCGACTCACATTTGTGCATTTAGTAGATGCTTTTATCCAAAGGAACAATAGATGGAATTTGTCACAGAGACAACAATATTCAGAGTATACAACGGCAGGATTGTTAGAAATCTAGATTAGGCAACCAGCTAAAACAGATGTGAAATGCAGAAAAGAAAGAAGGCAATTTTTTGTGTCTATAATCAGTGTTGGGGAAAGTTACTTTTAAAAGTAATGCATTACCAAAAAAGTAGGTCTGCATTTCCTGGGCTTGTTTATAGGTCTGCATTTCTTTAACAGTTGAGCTTCGCAGGTTGAGGGGTGAGTACCCTGCTCTCAGTGAAAAGGAGAAGGAACAACAAGAGTCGTTAAGCGAAGACTGGCTGATGCATAACACTAAACTCTGCCCATCCTGTCACATTAACATTCAGGTCAGCAACTACTAGCTCATGAATGCAAACAGACATTTCACTTTTGTTGTTTAAAGGCGTGGTCTTAGTGAAGATTCTTAGTAAAAAGCTTTTAAAAATAAAGGATTAATTTTCTCTTTTTGTTGACCGAGATAACAAAAAAATAGACCCAGGTGCAGCATTATTGGGGCATCATTTATAAGACTCGTGTATGATCAGATTTGATGAAGACAGAGGCATGTTTACCACTCTGTCACACCACCTTTCCTTTTAATGACACTTTTTTAATCATTTGGGAATTGAGGAAATTAATTGTTGCAGTTTTGCAAGTGGATTTTTCTCTCTAATCTCACCTGATACAAGACATCTACTCAACAGTCCATGCTCGTCATTGTCTGATTCCCCTTTTCCTTATTAGGCCATACATTTTCAATAAGAGACAGATCTGGACTGCAGGTGTAGAGTTTCTACAAATCCACTCAGTTGTAGCATGTGCAGAATGAGGTCTGACATTGTCTTTCCCTAATATACATGGACTTCTCTGGAAAGATGTAATCTTGATGGCAGTTATGCCTCTGTACTTCCCAATATACTGTTTGTGTGACCGGATGCTCTCCTCCTAGGTGTTTTGAATAGAAATAATTAAATTAATTAGAGCTTGCCGCTGACAAATTGCCTTTCAACCTGTGGTGCGTCATTTCCGATCGGCTATAAATAGCCTATTTTCATTGCGTTGAGATACGTTACTTCCGATTGGCCCGGGGGTTCCCATTCGCTTCCAACGTGCGGGTGTTTTGACTGCAGCTGTACGCCGGCTTTCTGTGTGTTCCCGGAACGGCTAGTTATTTTGGTAAGCTATCACGGCAGTAAATTCTGGGAACCGGTTGGGCGTTAATCTGACGAGTGGGTTTGATCTTTAGCTTGTTTCAGGCATATGTAGACCAGTTTATGCAACGCTGCAGGATCGAAACGAGACGGCGATCAAAGCGTTTCGGTTCAGAGCGTCGGACTGATTCTATCGTCGGGTAAGTCTCTATAGGAAGTTACGGGTACTGGGTGTTTGGGCATTGATCGAGGAAGTGGGTATGATGTTTAGCTTGTTTCAGGCATACACAGACCAGTTAATGTGGCGTTGCCGGATCAAAACCAATCAAGCGATCTAAAGTGGTTTGTTTCGAGCGATCGACGTGATTTCTATCTTCGGGTAAGTCTTTTCCTGATTGGGTCGAGAGCATTGGGCATTTGTGGGGGCGTTTAATCATGTGTTTTCCTTTTAGGGTGTTCCAGCTTCCCCCCCCCCCCTCTGCCTCTTTGTCAGGATTTAATGCAAGGAATCGCCGTTGTCCTACTACCTAAGTTTGTTGGTTTTTGTTGTTTTAGTTAGTCTGATTTGTAAGTATGGTTCGTTATGTGTGAGCTAACGGACGGTGCTATTAATTTGTTTTGTGTTGAGATTATTTGTTAAAGGGAGTTATAGTTTTCAGTTAAGTGATTGTTTTTGGATCATTATTGTTATTATTATAGTCTTTTGCTTGCTGTGTTCATTTTGATTTAATTTAGTTGGTATTGATCCTCCACAGTGTGTGTATGTGTATGTGTGTGCAATTGCATTTGTATTTCGCTAGATGCTGAGGGCTTCAGCCAGGAATCCTCCCTTGTTTCCTCTGCGTGCTGGTGGTGGTTTGAACACTGGGTGGTGTGTGCAGTGAGACGCACGGATTTGCTGTGCGAGTGATAAGTGTATACCCTAAGGTGTGTGTTTGTATTCCTTGTCCTTTAGCCCTCAGCCAAAAGCTTGTGAATGTAATGCTTTACTGTTACTTGTGTAGTGACTGACTTTGAGGACTGTATTTCTTCTCTGATATCTAACATCTTATGATCCGATGTTGTGGCGTGTCTTGTCTGGTACGCTTCGTTTGTTTTAATGTGATTTTTAGAAATAAAGAACTATTTTTGTACGACATTCATGTCTCTGTTCCTTACTAGTGCAACCAACTTGTGTGTCTTAAAATAAAGTCTATCAATCATTCTCTGTGTGATGTCAGAGTGGCGTAGTCGGTTTTCTTAAAGCTGCATTTAGTCGATTCTAAGTAATTAGGCCTTGGGGCCGTTAAGTGCGGTCTCTTTCTGCCACATTTGCACTGATGCACTCTTGACAGATGTTTGCTTTTGCACCTGTCGCTGAGGAAAGTGGATTCATCTGATTCATCATTCGTCTTTTAGACCACCTATGAGTTGGGGCCCAGAGAACTCAGCGGCATCTCTACATTGAACAGATATGTATAGCTTTCTCCTTGAGGAACAGAGATTTGAGTTGCATTTCTTGATGGGGCTGCAGACTGACAACAGTTTTCCTAAAATGTACTCCCGAGCTCATGTGGGTTTATTAACAGTTGCATGATGGTTTCTCATGCAATGCCATCTGAGGGCTCAAAGGTCACGTAGATTCAACGGAAGTTTCCTGCCTTGCCCTACACAGACTGAGATTTCCCTGGATTCCCTGAATCTTTTCACAATATATACTGTGTGTACTGTAGATGCTGGAATACCTAAATTCTTTGCAATGTTGCATTGAGAAATGTGATTTTTGCACATGGCAAAGAGCCTTTGGTGGATGCTCCTTTTACACTCAATCACAACACCATCACCTATTACTATTCCCCTAATCGTGGACTGTTTAACTGGGATATTAAGCTTTCCACTTTTTGCCTCCGTCCCAACTTTATAAATGTGTTGCAAAATTAGTTTATATTGACAATTACAATTAAGTTGTTCAGTGACAACATTGGAAATGTTAAATTACTGTGTTAAATACTTCAGTTAAATAAAGCTTCAGGAGAATGAACAAATCACAGATTACTGATTTTACGGCATTTTACAAAATGTCCCAACATTTCTTGAAATGGGGCTGTAGTTTCTTACTCATCATTTATTTTTTATTTTTTTTAGAAAATCCTGGGCTGCAACAAGATGACCTGCTCCTCTTGTCGGCAGTATTTCTGCTGGATCTGCCTTGCAGTTCTCGACAGAATGGACCCCTACAACCACTTCATAGGCGACACCAATCCGTGCAATAACCTTTAAGTTAAATGCTGATAGTGGTTGTTCTTCACGTACAAAGAATAAGGCATGCATCACAAAAACCATGTAGATTACGTGACTGGTTTTATTTCACCTCTAGAGAGCTGTTTTACTGTAGAACCAAAGACTAAACTGTAGACAAGTAAAACCCTCAAGTGCCGGTGCACAGAGGAATTTAAAACTATTGCAAACTATCACCATTGATTTGAACAGATAACCACAAATTCCACAAAGTAAATATAAGTGCATGTGATACGTCCAAATTCGCCTATTTATAATTGTTTTGTAAAGAAAAAGTAAGTTTTTAAATGGAGAAGAGTCGGCAAGTCTTGAAACCATTGACCGTTTACTGTATTTTTACTGTGCAATCATCTTGTCACGGTCAATGTCTTCACTCCACATTTCATTTTATATACGTTACTTAACAATTCTTCCTACCATATTGGAGATAAAAGCTGCATGGTCAAGGGTCTTTCAAGCAGAGAACTTTGCTCATGCATGGTTTTGCATAATGATGCATTTGACTAATGGCAAAGTCCACCTTCACAAAGAAAACCCAATACGATTTCAGTTGGACTAAAGAAGTAACATTACATTTTAAAAAGATAAATCATTGCTTTAGTCCAACTGAAATTGATGTTTGCATGCAACCACACCGAAACATCACATACTATTCACCCTAAACAGTATCCAAGATTAGAATTATCCATCCATTTATTATCCCCACTTATCCCCAAATCATGTTTTTAGATGTGCATTATCTCGACAAACATAAAGGTGTTACGGAATAATGGGATCTCTATCAACATCTTAATCCTCTTACAGCTTATCATATTGACCCGTTAAAGGAATAAAGTGGTATTGAACACTGTTTTTTTAGGTACTGGGTCAATAATTAATTTTTATGCAAGAAATCCTCCATAGTGTACTATAATCTTATATATATTATAATCTTATATACCGGTAATCGTCAATCAACCAGAAAATAACATTCACATTTTCTCCTGTATTTATTCATCAGCTTTTGACAGATCAGAGGCAAATACATGTTGCCTATATCTACAATATTTCTACATCTCATGGTGCTTAGATATAACCAATCAGCGATGAAAAATAATTTTGCAAAAAAAAAAACTTTTTGAAACCTCAGTACAATTCTGTGTAAAAATGAAATGAAGGTAATTTTCCTGGTTAATATTATGGATGTGCTGTTTTAGTATGTTTTTAAATGTTGCACTAAGAATATGTTGTGTGAAGCCATACTTTTCTATTGCATTTGTTTGCTTTGTTATAATAAAACTTGTTGAATTTGTGGTGGTCAGTCTGAGCATCGAGAGAAATGCAACACAAATTGTATCGTCATTATTTCATAAGTTTTGTGCATTTTCCACTGACAGCATCAACAGCCCGGACCGTAGAATTTAGTTCTTGCAGCATTGTAATTCTTAAAAATCAATAAAAAATCTAATAAGAAAAGTTATTGTAGCAGTATTATGGA